TTTTTTTTTTTAAAGAGACAAAGTCTCACTTTATTGCCCTGGGTAGAGTGCCGTGGTGTCACACAGCTAACAGCAGCCTCCAACTCCTGGGCTTAGGCAATTCTCTTGCCTCAGCCTCCTGAATAGCTGGGACTACAGGTGCCCACCACAATACCCGGCTATTTTTTGTTGCAGTTTGGTCGGGGCTGGGTTTGAACCCACCACCCTTGGTATATGGGGCCAGTGCCCTACTCACTGAGCCACAGGCGCTGCCCATGTAAGAGCAAAAGTTTTTAATTTTAGGACATCTATTTCATTAATTTTTTTTCTTTTATAGCTTTTGCTTCTTTTTGTCCTATATAGGAAATCTTTGCCTGACTTGAAGTCACAAAAATTTTATCCTTTTTTTTTTTTCCAGAAAGTTTAATACCTTTAGCTCTGACATTTAGGTCTGTAATTAACTTTGAATTAGTTCTGTGTATAGTGTGAGGGTAGGGATATGACTCATTTTTTCTCCATATGGATATCCCATTGTTTCATTGCCATCGTTTGAAGAAACTCTTTTACCCCATTGAATTATTTCAGCCCTTTTCTTAAAAATCATTTAACATATAGGATCCTTTTGTAGTTCCTAACTATGATCATTGGGTTTTCACGCACATGTGTGAGATGTACCTGCCACAAATCTTACGACGTCAGCACATTGCCTGTCTGACGTGGAAAAAAACCCATTTGACTTATAAGTATGGGCCTATTTTTGGACTGTCCATTGTGTTTTATTGATCTGTATGTCTATCATCATGCAAATACTACACTTTGTTGATTTCTATAGCCTTATAATAAGTCTTGAAATCAGATAATATTAGTGATTGAACTTTGTTCTTCAAATTTGTCTAGGTCTAGGCAGCTCCCGTAGCTCAAAGGGCAGGGTGCTGGCCACATACACTGAGGCACGCAGGTTCAAACCTGGCCTGAGCCTACTAAACAACAGTGACAACTGTAACAAAAAAATAGCCAGGCATTATGGTGGGCACCTCTAGTCCCACCTAGTCGGGAGCTAGGGCAAGAGAATCACTTAAGCCCTAGAGTTTGAGGTTGCTGTGAACTATGACGCCCTGGCACTTTACCCAGAACAACATAGTGAGACTCTGTCTCAAAGAAAAAAAAAATGTCCAGGTCCTTTGCCTTGACATGTAAATTTTAAAATCAGGTGTTGATTTCTTCAAAAAAACCTGCAGGATTTTGATTGAAATTGGATTGAATCTAAAGATCAATTTTAGGAGCTTGCCACTTGAACAGTATTAAGTCCGTGAAGTCATAAACATGAATCCATGCATATGGTGCATATTTTTCTTTATTGAAGTTATCTCTGATTTTTTTTTGCAATGTTTTATAGTTATCAAGATATAGGTCTTGTATATCTTTCATTAAATTTATTCCTAAGTGTATTATTTTTATGCTATTAGATTATAAATGGAGCTATTTTTTAAAAAATTTATCTTCTAATTCTTTATAGCTAATATAGAGAGATATAGTTGAATTTTGTAGATCTACCTCATATCCTGGAACTTTGCTGCATTCATTTATTAATTTTTTTTTTTTTTTGGAGACAGAGTCTCACTTTATTGCCCTCAGTAGAGTGCCATGGCGTCAACAGCTCATAGCAACCTCAAACTCTTGGGCTTAAGCGATTCGCCCTCTATTCTCTTCTATTTATTTATTTATTTTGTTGTTTTTTTGAGACAAGAGTCTCACTTTCTTGCCCCCTGGTACAGTGCCATGGAGTCACAGCTCACAGCAACGTCAAACTATTGGGCTCAAGTTATCCTCTTGCCTTAGCCTGCTGGGACTACAGGCACCCTCCACAACACTCGACTGTCATTTATTAATTCTAATAGCTGTTTTATAGGTTTCTTAGGATTTACTGTATGCATGATTTTATCATCTGTCATTTCTTTTTTTTTTTTTTTTTT